TAAACAGCTTTTAAATGGTGATAATTGTATCCTATTGCTTCCGAATTCGAAGGCATCAAAACTTTAAACCGGAAGATAAAAACACATAATTCATCATTTTTAAGCAAAAAGTACTTTACAAAAGAAGAGTAAGAACTGAGCTTCTGAGCCGGGTAACGGTGGATATATTATAAATATTTTATATATGTTTGGCGCGGGCCGATTGAACCAAAAACGAGGTGCACATCTACTGTTATAGTAGTCATATACAAAATTTCAACGTTCTGAGGCTACTCGTTTTTTGAATCTCGGAGTACATACGTACGTACGTTGTACGACGCCACGAAAATTCTCTTCAGAATTCTTTAAAGCAGTTTTTTAGTTTTTTTTTGGGAAAAGAGTATTTTATTCTGTCCTTCGTATATATACACGCAAACACATCGTTAAATTGCATTCGAAAGCGGTCAAAGTGGATATTTTCGTTGAAATATGCTGCCTGAAGCTTTTCGCGATTACCATGCTTCCTTCTTCGTACAAGGAAGTAAAAAGCTGTCATGTAAAAATGCTGACTTAGAAATATACTGACACCAAAGAAAGCTCACATAGAAATATGCTCACAAGGACAAATGCTCACATTAACATTTACAGGGGCAGTATATAAAAGAATGAAAACTGTAGTAAAATTTTGCATGTACTGCAATAGTTTATACCACTGCCGCTGTACGACTTTTTTTTTTGTGTGTGTGTGGGTGTGGGGGGGGCATTTCTAAGTTTGGTATGGGGCTCCTAGAAAAAAATATTTTAATTCTAAGGGTTCCGCAAATCGGCAAAACTTAAATACCATTACTTTAGATCGTTACTCTTTTTAATAATTATCATACGGTAAAAAATAAATGAAAAAATTTAATAAAATTTGAAAAAAAAAATGTTAAAATTGTGTGGAAGATTTCAGATTCTTATATTACGCATTTTTCACGGGAGATTCAAAACGGGATTTGAAATGTGATACAGACATTCAGAGTCATTGGACGCAAAATACCGTTAGACATTGCGTTGCTGCGCTACCAACATCATACCCGTAAGAAATGTAAAGAAACCTCGCGCATAAAATATCCGTGCTTGAATATGCACGCCATGTTAATGTTAATGGAACGCTTTGAAACTATTCGGTTTGTTAATCAAAATTTCCTTAAAGTTTTACAAAATATTAAATAGATAATAAACCAAATTCCAAATCTGGACTTCCAGATACCTGTATTCGGATGGAGGATTACGTTATTCGAAATTTGATGGCTCTAGGTACCGTTGTTTTTTCACAATGCGAGAACCATACCTACATTTACGCAGATTCTTCATTATTTAATTTTTTTAAAATATATTTCAGGGCTCTAATATTTGGTGGCAATAATTTGAAGGTAATTCAAACTTTTATAGAAAACCAACTCAAAATGCCAAAACGAAATTAATAGCCCTTCGGGGATAAAAATGATCTCTTCCGAGAACAGAACAATAAAGATCTAAACTTCAAAATGTAGGAAAGAACATTTTCGGACCCGAGACTCAAGTTTATCTAGAATTTAATAATGTTAAACTAGTTAGGTTAGTTGATTTTCCCAAACTTTGTAAAGTGCGTTTCTTTTGTACATGGTGCCCACTAGCGGCCTAGCGGTAAAATTCGCTGAACACTGGTATTTCGAACCTGGATTCGAATTCCGAACGGACTGACTGCATGGGCTTTTTCTATGTGTAACGTGTGTACAAGCCAGTTTCCCTTAATACGTCCATCATGAAGGCATCCATACCCCCCGTTAGGCAGATAGCATCTGAAGTGCTTTGCCATGACTAAATAAAGCAAACGAAACCTTTGTGTATGGCTGATTTAAACTAAATCAGACTATTTTACCACTTTATATGAAGCTATTCCTCTGTTATTTGGCACTTTCTAGCCTCTGGCTCCACCTTATTTGGTGATTTTTATATTTTATTTGTTGAATTAACTTTGTAGAGATATTAGAGATTTGGAAGCAGGAAAGATGAAAAATACCCTCGCCAGGACTCAAGCACGGACTTCTCGAATACGCGCCGAGTGTGCTGACCACTATACCACGAAGGCATGCTCTGAAGGCGGGAGAAATAACGTATAACTTTAGTTTAAAAAAATTTATATTTTGATCATATTAACCGATTTGTTGATTACAATAAGTGATGTAATTTCCATATTTTCGTACACAAATGAGCGTGCATTTCACCAATTTGATAATAATATCAGACTAATAAACATTAACCGCGATCATAATAATCGACGTCGACTGTATTGACATGAGGCAACATCCGAATTTCAGATACCATCATCCGCCTCCGTTCGTGGAATTTGAGGATTCGAATGTTCTCATAACTAATAGGAAGGCGTATCAAAACACCTTCTGAAACGGCCTGACAGCTCTAAGCCTGATTTCAATTCATGGTCGATGTAGCATTTGAAGAGCCAGCGAGTCTGATTTAGTGTATAATGAGAGCTAAAGGACAGAAGTGAACGCAAAGAGTGACAAACTGTGACGAAGTTGAGGAGAAATAATGCTGCTTCCTTGGCAAATATTTTGACAAGACTGTTTCTGCTGCCGCGTCAAGTTTCTCCTTAAATCGGTTATTCCTCTTTCGTCTATTATGAAACCAAAACACGCACACACGATTCAGCTAGTGGCAACGTCTGTTTAGCATTATAGTTGCTCTGTAGTGTGTGGGTAAACTGTTTGTTTTACAATAGTTCTTTCTTATGGCTTTAATCGGAAATTAATCCACTTAATCAGGTCGCTCGCCAAAAACAAAACAGTAAATTCAAAATTGCACCACCAAAATATTAAAAACACTTAAATACTACAGCACTATATTTCAAGTCTTTACCAAAACATTAAGACATAAAAACTTAACAATTAAAACCTTAAACATCTTCATTGATTTGACGCAAAGTAACCGTGTGCTCAGAACATAAGATCTCAGGCCATCGGTTACAGCAGGAAGACATCATCAGTGGGTTGTAACTTAGAGTCAAGGTCCGGACAGACTAGCAAGTAGTTGCTTATTCTTAGTGTGTGTTTTCCAAAGAATGCACTGGCTATTAGTCAATATGCATATTCTGCTGAGATGTTTGGCTAAGCAGTCATGCCTTCTACCCAGTGTGAAATTAGCCACAGCCTTTCTACGTGGGCTGCGACTGAACTCATTCCAATCATTCCTGATATTCTCACAGAGTTTACCCTTCGATTTCATAGATAGTTCTGTGTAAGCTGACATAAGATTCTCATGAATTCTTCTTCTAAGTGAATCCGAAGGAATGGAACTCTGTTCAATAAATAACTCTGTACCCTTCTTTGCCAACAGATCTGCTTTTTCATTAACACCAATATGTACATGGGTTGGTATCCATTGAAATTCTAGAGTTTTACCGCTTCTATTTAGTTCCCTGATATCTTGTTTCATTTCTGGCACAAGAGGAGGCTCAGAGTGTTGTTGAAGGATAAGGATAAGGAACGGGGGACGTGGGCACTATGCCTCTACCATGCGGTTAATTAATATAGCACCACGTCCACCATGATCTAGAGAACCCTTAAGACAACACTAATTCAAATACGTGAGTACATTATTGAAAATGAATGATTGATTAGAAACAATTGTGGTATACCTTGGCAGTAAAATTGTTGCATTTGTGTAAACAAGTTACGATAAAGACAAAGATGTAGTGATAGTCTGTAAAGTGCTAACGATTAGTATTCCAGTTGTTGCCATTAAAAGAGGATACTTCCTGCTGTAATGGTCACTCCAGGGTCATATTCTGCTGCGCAGAGGTCCGTGCCGAGACTGGCTAGCTTTCTCCATAATTTTTGATGAGCTGCCGGCAGAGGTGCTTCTGTTTGACCATGAGCTTTCAGAATGCCTGTGTGTTTGTAGTGGGAATACGTATGTACATCCCGCTGGTCAGAGAACAGGTAGTGACGTAATGCTCCGGAGTACCCAGGTGACCGCAGCTGCACTGGTCTGTGTCAGTCGTGCCGTGCCTGGCAAAGTACTCCGGGAAGGGTCCATGAGACTGGTGTTGAAGAACTGCTGCCACTATGGCTGATTTAGAACCAACAAGAATGACGGCCCTTGTAAAAAGAACTGAAATAGATTTCAAATTAGACACAGCCAAAAAGACTGCATGAACTTCTGCATCAAAATTCAAAAACTGTTGACCCACTGGGGCATTCTGTGAAAACAGTTTACAATATACACCTGCACCAGCAGCATTATTCATTCTAGAGCTATCTGTAAAGTATTTTCAACAGGAATAATATGGTTTAAAGATACAAAAGGTCTTCACAAATCTCAACTGGGGAAATCTGAGTTCTGAGGATGCCCACTTGTATATTTTGCATCCAATTTGCCCGTCTTGATGGTTTCAGTCTAGCAACTGTATAAACTGCCTGTTTCTTTATCTCAACAGCAATTAGATTGTAAAGCTTAATTGTGAAGTTGACACTACTGCTCCCGTGGTCAAGCGGAAAGCTTTATTCTGGGCTTTCTCCAGGACTTCCATCTTGGTCCGTGCAGCCGAAACCAGAATTTCAGTACCATATTTAACTAATTTTATACAGGTGTTGTAGGTTAGATTTAGACCGTTCTGGGAATCCTGCCCTATTTTGCACCTGTCAGTCTCTTTCAGATAGGCAACCTTTTTTCGACTCTAATCACAATGTGTCTGATATGCTTCTAAAAATTTAACTTACTGCCCATTATAACACCGAGGTATTTTGTCCTGATATTTCCATTTAGTTTTGTGTTATCCAAATACAAATCAAATCAGGTACAACATATCTCAAAGTGGTAAAAAATTGATACATAATTTTAAATTTATTGATGGTTTATGTGATTGTCCATGGCTCAAGATTGAAAGGTCTTCAGAGCTATTCATATTACCCTCAAGTTGCTGTTTCTGTCTTTGATACTTTCGACAGTTAATAGTTTCCGTTCGTGTTACTAGATCATCAGCAAGTATGCTGACTTGGGATATCTCCAATCTCTTTCAAACTCTTGGTGAGATCATTAACATAAATGTTGAACAGTATGGGGCTACTCACTGAACCTTGTGGAAAGCCGACTGTATTCGGACTCTTAATGCTATTCCAACTAGTCTTGACCCATCTCTGAGTTAGAAATCTTCCAATCCCGTCCAGCATTTTCCTTGTATTCCTTTTTCTCCTAATTAGGAGATTTTTCTTACAAATAGTATCATAAGCCCCCTGGAAATCCACAAATAATGCCAATGAGCTTTTCTTAGAGTTAAACCCTGATTTTAAGATATGAAAAGAGTTAGAGGTGGACATGTCATTTCTAAAACCAGCCTGCTCCTCCTGTATAATTTCAGTAGTTTCCAGGAAAGATTTTAGTTTAGTAGTCAATATTCCTTCAAATGTTTCTGCTAGTACTGAAGCCATAGATACATAGGGCTATATGAGTCAAAGTCCTCTATTAGTTTATCTTTTTTATGGATAGGTATAACCATAGTCTTGGACCAATCAGATGGAATATTAATGTTCCTATTCCAAAATGTATTGGCCTACCAGCGGCCGAGCAGTAAAGTCGCTGAACACTGGTAGTTCGGTCCGAGGTTCGAATCCCGCGAACGGGCTGGCTGCATGGTTGTTTTCGTGGTTTTCCCCATGTGTAACGTGTATACGAGCCAGTTTCCCTTAGAAAGTCCTCCTCGAAGGCACCCCTTCCCTTAGGCAGATAGCCCTCAAGGCTTTGCCATAATTAAATAACTTAACCTATCCAAAATGTATTGTAGATTGACAAAAGAGTATTTTGGGCCATAAGTCTCGGGTGTTTTAAAAACTCTGGAACTATATTGTGTGGACTCGATTGCCTCTTCACCTTTAAGTGTTTTATAAACCCTTTTAATTTCTCTATTGAGAAGATATCATTAAAGATAAACTTTTGGGCTGGCCATTTTCATTGCGTATGGTATGTTGGTATATTTATTCAGGAAGTGTTTGTTAAATTTCTCTGCTATGTCTCTATAATCTGTTGCACAATGTCTCCAACTAACATAATTAACGTATATTCCATTTTGCAACTATATATGCAACTAAGAATACATTATATAATTTCTGAATTTTCAGGTATACAGAAATGTACAGGGTTCTCCTGTTTGTCTAAATGTATATTAATGTAGTATCCTCTAAAATGCATCGCTCTACCACCTGTGCCATCTCTTTTGATAATCTGTGTTGATAAAGCATTGAACATTAAGAGCCCTTTTGGGCGACCCATTAAAATCTGAACCCTTTCAGATTTTTAATTTTTTATTATTTATTAACTTACTATTTTAATTTTTAACAGTATTAAAGAACTCAATATCTGCAGCGTATAATTTAATATTTTTTTCTTTTTGTCTAGTGGTTCTAAATCTATCGGTATTACCTTCGGAATTTCAACTAGAATACAGGTGAAGTCTCTGTGGAACTACGTGCTCGCACAAGGAACTTGCCTCAGAATTCAGACAAGAGGTATGTACTTTTTTTAAAATATGGTGATTTTCGCCCTTTTTCATATGCATGTTTTAACTTGTTCTATTCTGTGGATCTGTTCATTAGTTAAAGAAAGGAAATTCACATATTCTCGGAGTAAGGTTTTCAAATACTTAATAAAATTAACAGAAAACCAGTTCCGTTCCTCCTCAAAATGCTCTTTCGTAAGTTTTGCTCTTGATGGAAAATTACTGAGAATTTTTAACCCTTTGTCTCCCTTTTAAAAGCTAGTCAGTAAAATTTTTTATTGTTTTCACATGATTATAGAAAATATGGGGATCACACTAAAACACCACTAGCACTATATATCTCGATTTATTTTTGATAGTATTATAAAAATGGTTCTTATTATCGTCAGTCAGAGTCCATGATTGCAAACTGTGCCTTTCCATTTTACCATTGCATGTGCGACAGAGTTGAGCTTTTGTTCTGCATAAACCACGTCATAAAGATGTATCGTATATTGCGATATGCCCTGCTTCTGATTGGCGAATCTCAGATGGGATAAAACGTCTGCCTGTTTTGGCACAAATGTTCATGTCATCACTTTTTCGTTCATGTTTTTCACGCTTTCGCAGTGCTATTCGTTCTCTCGCTGTAGAAATTCGAAAATCTTTCAGTCGTAAGAAAGATTTCTTCACTGCTCAAATAGAAAAAAATGTTTCTTCGCTGCTCAAATAGAACAAAAACGTCCGAAATCTTAACTGTCATATCACAATATGCTAAATCTATTTAAACGTTGAGAAAACCAACTTACCAGCCATTATCCAATACTTAGATAAAGAATATGAGTCCTGTTGGGCTGAGTGTGTGCAGAAACTCCACAGGATTATGAACAGTATCTTCTACTTCTATTGACCACATCTATAGACTCGTACTTCATCTGTTCAGTTGTTAGTTTCAGGTGATATTGAAATTTTATTGCACAAAATACACAGAGAGCGAAGTTATGTCACTCTGTAAGTGCCATCACACATGAAAATGCCGATATTGATGAAACGCTTAAATTCAATGTGAAATTTCCCTTACGATGGTTCCCGAAAGATGGCGTTCTGTGCTACCTATTTATGCAAATGATTCAGCAAGGAGAATCACCGGTTTACAATCTGTATAATTTTTAATAGTTGGTTTCAGTGTTTGGTCACCGCGAGCGAAAGGGTTAAGTGAGACTGACTGTTTATATAATTAATCAGTTTCAGCACTAAATGCTCAGTTTCAGGTTTCGCATAAAAGTTTTTTCCAACTATAATCAGAAACTTTTCTTCAGAAGGAAATCAACACTTTAAATGAAGTAGTCAATCAACACTTTAAATTCTAGTCAACACTTTAAATGAAGACACAGGGAGGGGGGAAGATGCCAACACTTTAAAAATACTTAAACTTGAAAATGAGCTCCAGTTATTCATGAAGTGATCTTTATGTGGATGTAAAATCTAAAGTTGGTATCACACATCCATTTGTTTCGGACGCACAACTATTTCAAACACTTTTTCTATATGCTTTAGTCTTGAAAGAAAGCAAGATTTTTTCATTCCTATTGGAAAAAACAAAGATTGAAGGCTTTCCTTTCAGAGCCGCCAGTGCGTAGGATTACTAATGGAAGTGTGAGGATGTTATAGAACAAATAATACAAACAAAAATTTTACACACACACGTATATTTTATTTTTTATTTATAACATTCATTCATTTAAAATAACCCTACCTAAAATGGGTCGACGATATGAGAAATAAGATACACAAATTTAAGGTGTCTGCAGTTACAGTTAAATGGCCCCATTTTGAGATTAAAACAATGTTTTAAAAAATCAAATGTCTTTCATTTCGAGTAAAATACAGCAAACACAACACAAATACATTGACTGTTTGTTAGTTTTGACGCGTTGCTGTATGTTTACCCTTTGTCCCATTAAAAAAAAATCTGATGTCTACACCACATGACTTCCTTGTACGGAATATTAAATTATACGCATTTTTTCTTGCATTTTATTTAAACTTATTAGATTGAATAAAACCTACTTCGCCGACAGCGCATAAACCCCAATAGAATAAATGCATTCTTTAAAATTCACTTTGTTCACCATAGCGACACTCTGGTGCTAGGTTCACTTAACAGTATTATATTTCGTTCATATTATAACTCAGAATGCACAAAATGTATATCATTTAAAGAATTATCTAATCGTTGCCACGTGTTCTTTTCAAATACTATAATAAAGCTAGAACTATGTATAAAAGAAATTAAGCAAACAAAACAAAAAAGAAACAGTTTTCACAGACGATTGAGTATTTCTCATTTAATTAATTCAGTTCTCACTTCGCGAGAAGGCAAAAATACATAAAAACTCAAAATATCTGTATTAAAAATTACGAAGTAAATCGCTTATTTCCCCGAAAAAATTCCAGAAAGAATTAAGCATGATTTAATTGGCAATAATAAATGAATGCATTATCTTTGTTGTTGCGAAACTAAGTTTCTCTAGATTGGCAACAAATCCACTAGTCTCCTGTTTCAAATGTAAACATCAATGGCCGCCATTAAAAACAGGCTTAGCGGCAATTAGACAACTTTAAAATTGCTGATAATTCTAAAAATACTGCACACAGATTTACTTAAGGCATAAAATCCTTAACCGGAAGATAAAAACAATATAATTCAATCATTTTTAAAGAAAAAATGTACAATTTACAAACATATAAGAGTAAAGAAACTGAGATCACCGGGCCGGGTAACAGAGTGGATATATATATAAAATATATTTATATACGTTTGGTGCGGCCGATACGAGGTGCACATCTACATATTATAGCAGTCCTATATACAAAATTTCAACGTTCTGAGGCTACTCGTTTTTGAGTTATGCGAGATACGTACGTACATACGTTCGTACAGACGCCACGAAAAATTCTCTTCAGAATTAATTTTAAAGCAGTTTTATAATTTTTTTTGAAGGAAAAGAGTCTTTTATTCTGTCCTTACGTACAGATATCACACAAAAACATCGTTCAATTGCATTCGATAGCGATCAAAATGGATATTTTCGTTGAAATATGCTGCCTGAAACTTTTCGCGATTACAATACTTCCTTTTTACATCGTACAAGGAAGTAAAAATGTGTGTGTGTTTGCTAATGTGCTCTTTCAGCTATCGGATGATGTATTAATTGATTGTAACGTTTGTAATTTCAAAGATATAAGTGTTCTCGCAACCTCAAATATCGTTTTAATTTTTTTTCCCATCAGGCCATTATGAAGGAACGTTAAAAAAAAAAACTTCTACGTTAAAACATTATAAGCTTTGTTTCAACAACCAATCAGCTATCAGATCGAATCCTCTTTAAGTGGTAACCCCAAAATGATTGGCTGTTTTGAATCATGTGACAAAGCAGAAAAATTCTCTTGAAAATTTCTTGAATTGAATTCTCTTGTTCTTCCTAAAATTTGTAAATGTGTGATACGACTTTAACACACTTTTAAATAAGACTTAAGGGACACTATAAAAGTCTTATTTACTGGAGTATGATCTTTGTGGGGAATGCACACTAGTAAAACGCTTATTACTTTTATCGACAATACTCCATAAAGTGTAATGTAGTGGGTGGAAGAGGCTCGTATGGGGAGGAGAGGAAGTTCCTTAAACAAATTGACCGATTTTATTAGGAACATGAAAGCTATTGTTCTCGAGCCTCTCTTTTGTGTTGAATCACTTTTGCAGACTATCACTTTTCAAATCAAAAGCCAATTATATATATTGTCAATGATACTTACAACTTAACCTCATTTTTACAAATGTATCAGTTTTCAATTTAAAAATCGATCATATATGTATGTTGATCACCCTTCAGTTACAAAATCAGTATTATTGCAAATTTCTGTAATTATTTAAATGTTGTTAATTATGCTTATGGGACTTTTGCTCACTTTTGCGGTGCATCATTTTTTAACTAACGCATACACGTTTAGAACTTATTTTTACTAACTCTTTGCGGCACAGTGTGTCCGGTCTGGACAGACCTAAAAATTTCCTTCTGTACGCACAGAAAAATTGAATGAAAAAGATTTATAGGTTACTATAGGTTACTCTGAACCTTCTTTATTTATATGAGATGGCAGCTCATCACAAACCAGTCCATAAATTTTAGCCATGTTTAATTTTTAAGACCCTCATTTTTCAAAGAAATCTTCCAGATTTTTAGGGTATAAAAGGTGTTGTTTGAAAAGAAATTTCTATGTTATTTTTTGGCTGTATGCTAATCTCCTTATTCTATATTAGTTTCAAATTTTTACTTTGAAATCTTGTCTAAAATCAAACGGCGAACCCAAGGTGTTCCCAGACCGGGCTCACCGATCATCTAGGACAACTGAGAATTTCTGTATTCTTTGTTTCTCCGCATCTCATCGGTCATTTCATTGACAACAATGCTCGTTTCAGCAATCTTTTCGAAGCTCTATTCAATCAGGGTGCCACAGAATTAAAACGATAAGTGCTATCTTCACAAAATTTTACTTGTGTACTCCTCTAGGCCTAATTAGACTGCCTACCGTTTTTTTTTTTTTTTTTTTAAATCAAAACTCTGATTTTAAAAGGTAGCGTGCCAGAAAGTGTTAAGCTAACACAGTGGCGTTTATAACGCTCCAAAATATCACGTTGTTTACTGTTTTCGCTTCGGATGATAACATGTATCGCCTATAAAGCATATAACATTTATAACGTATTCTTACTTTTGTGTCGGATCACTTTTCAAATACGCATGAACTATTTTTATAAAGCTAACGTATTGACGCATATAAAGCTCCAAAATCTATACTGCTTGCTTTTCGAACGATATCGTATATCGCTTATAAGTCATAATACTCATAATTTATCCTCACTTTAATGTCGATAACTTTTTTTTGTTTCACTTTTCAAATAATGGTGAACGCTTGTAAGGTTAAAAAATATCAAAATATCGAATGTTTTGCTTTTCGAATAGTAATATA